TATGTGTGTGTATATATATTCCTTATATAAATATATATATATATATTTATATATATGAAACTTTGGCAGATGGGATGTGATAGAGTATCTGTTGATAATGCATGCGGTGGCGCATCGCTATGTTAGGATGATCTGTGAATCCCGGGGCGGAGTCAGCTGTGCTATTTTATTGCATGTTCAAGCCTGGTCTCTGTACGGATGGTCTGGTAACCACAACTCTTTGTCTATCTCGAAAGTGAAGCTGCCTATGTTCGTTTGTAGATGTGTTGCCTTACAGACTTCTTTCGGGTACTTAACTAGTGCGGGTGTACGTTTACCGACGCAACTGTCTCTGTTTGGATTGTATCTTAGACACAATGCGTTTTTATTGTATGTGGCTGAATTTGACTACGTTTGTGCTTCCCTTCGCTGGCCCACATATGGCTTTAAAGCATTTAAAATAAATACAATTGATCTCGACCACACTGTTGACTATACCCACACAACATGTACTATTGAATCAATCGCTTTCGATGCTCTTCGTCAATCTCTATGCGAATATGAGACTGTGTAGTCAACTCGCCCTCTATTCTCTGGTCTGCTCTGTTTTCGTTGCAAGTCACAGCTGACAAACTTCTTCGCTCAATCTCGATCCCTATACGAAGGTTGAAATGGTGCCGTTTGACGACATTCCGTTGCAGAGAGCAGGCAGTCGCGATGCGACCAATCACAACGATACACACACGACAACAACACGGGATGAGAGGAGTTCTGTTTATACCCCGAGTAACTCAGAGCCGGGCACGGCCGTGGAACAGTCAGCACTGCGACTGTCCGACAAGGTGAGAATATGGAGTGACAGGACAAGCGAGCTATACGTTTGACTGTAAAGTCATTGCTCAACATGCAGCGTGTTTTGCATATGATGCTGCGACTGCGCTCCGCATGTATGCAGCTTAACACATGCGGTCAAGATATAAGCCAGTAGACAAGTGCCGCAATGTATCTGTCTGCATTATACTCAAATGCAATGGATGTATCTGATGATACCATGATCCCGTTCTCACACTCTGCTTATAAACTGGACTTCCTGCCATTTCTGCGTACTACCCTGACCAGTCACCCTTGAAAACATCAGGCGAGAGGCCTTCTGAGATAAAGCACAGGTATAGCCCGATATTAAACCGCATGCTATTCCATATTTACACATATACGTAGCTAATTCTTCTATAGCACTCATGTTTTACCACTTGCTGCTCGA